TGCACAGTATTTTTCTATTTTAGTATACCTCAACAATGGAATTATGATCAGTGGAAATGGCCATGACATGTGACCTTTAAACCACCAGTGTACTATCCTGTGAAGATAATTGAGATCTGTTACGGTACGTCCACACAGCAGCTTTACAAAAATCTTCCAACATCTTCCAACGCTTCTCTGCCCATTGACTTTGAATGGGGGTGACGTCACTTTGCCTCGCTTTTCGCCGAACTGCATTGTGGGGAAGCAAAGCAAAGATTTCCAGGATTTTCAGGATTTTCAGCATTCAAAAGTTGAGCAATGTTCAACTTTTGAAGCTGAGCTGGAAGCGTCAGCCAATCAAATCCTGTTTATGCAAATCTGACAGTACAAGCGTCAGCCAATCAAACCTCGTGCAAGCTAGGAGAGCCAGACCGCAGTTCATTTCCTCATATTCCAAACGAGAAATTACGGTAGCAAATCACCCGGTTCTTTACGACCAGAACTATTTACCGGGATACAAACCGGAGGAACCAGGCATGGAGGGAGGTGGCAGAGACAGTGGGTGAAACTGGTAGGTTTTCACCTGTTAGGAGAGTTTATATCCAGTTTACTTCGTTTAAACATTGCTATTGCTTTGTATGTCGGGGGCGGGAGCTTCATGTGATTGGTTGTTGGTCGCGTTGCTCGCAAAAAATCCCCAAGCTCTCAGACACGCCCACCTCCAAGATTTTCAAGATTTTTTCAAAGCTGCTGTGTGGACGGGACGTGAAAGGGCTGTTTATAGTCCGATAGTTTGATTTGATGTTTCTTTATTCTGTGTGGTTGCAGGCATGAAGAGGAGAGGAGGAGGAGAGAGGAGGAGGCGATGAGGCACAGAGAACAGGAGGAGCAGAGACGTCCGGCAGAGGGCTTCAAACCAAACTACCCGGACAACGTGAGTACATCTGGATCACAAACAAACGCTTAGAAACACACTGAAGCCTAGTTACATTGCACTTTCATACATATCGAACAAACCTGCAATCAGGAATGAAAACAAGAGGTCAGGTTGATGATTTAAATATTATACACACACTGCTTTGCAATAAGATAAATACATCTTGATGTGTTCTGAATCTAACATGTGATATTTATTTTTTGCTAGCAGGAGTATTATTAGAGAATACAAACGCTGCCATCTAGTGGTTAGCTGCTGCTCAGCAACTACCTTTCGATGAACAATGATCGGTAGATGTTATATAAAACAATAACATGTTTTATATAACATCATTTTCGGAGAATGATAATTATATTAAATCAGAGCAATGGGCAATTTCTGTCATCAGTTTAGTTTAGAAAATGTATATTCTGTAACCGTGTGAGGGATGTCTGGTAGCTTCTCCGTTGAAGAATCATACTTTTAGCAGCGTTTTGTTCTGAAGGCTCTTCTTCACTTCCTACAGAGAGAACAGGAAATGAGAGGAGGTGAGCTGGGCCCTCGTGGAGCCGCTAACATGGGAGGTACGGGCATCATGTTATACATTTTAATAATGCTTTGTATGTTTTGTCTGTCTTTTGGTGAGCATGGACTCACATGGGATGCAATGCAAAAGAGAACAAATCATAACACATCACATAATGTCTACACAATTGCATATGTCGCACTATAAGTGAGAACTTGTCGTTATGAATTGCTGCCTAGTTTATCTATCTGTGAAGTGTTTCCCTCAATATACATTTTAACATAATACACTAGCTGTTGACTACTTTAAATTTAGAATACCTTACCCACAATGCCCACAAACCAACCAATGCTGTGTTTTTTTTTTGCGTGTAGATGGCTATAACCAGGGCTCTCCGGGGGCCAATGGTAACCAGGGTCAGATGATGGGAATGAGTGGAAGGGGAGCAGCCATTGGCCAAGAGGGAACGGCAAATATGGGGTCGCCATTGATGTCGGAGAACGGAGGAATGGTAATGTATCAGGAAACAACATTAGCATATTAAAGCTGCTTTCTTTATAGAGTAGCATCGCCTCGTACACTGGAACAAATGCTGCTCCAAAAACAAGTTACTAAATAATGAAACCACGTTGTTTTCACTTGAAATAAGTACAAAAATCTTACAAAGTACAAATTAGCTTGGTAAGATTTCTTGCAATAAGAAGGGATATTTAGATAAATCAGATCTTGTAATTAGCTAGGAGAACTTATTTTGAGCTATATCTTACCAGGATCAGGAAATGTTGTGTAAATATGTCAAAAAAACAAGTTTCATCTGAGATACAACGCAAAATAGGATTTTTTTGACTTGACAAGATGATGCACTTCTGAAGTTATCATATCTTATATCAGGTGTAGACAGAGACACATTCTGACTAGATATCAGACACATATACTGGGCAAGATTTTGAGTTTTTGTAGTTTAATGATGGATAAACAGTGTTTAATTTAACTTCTAAGGCTTTCCTATAAAAGTTATTGTGGACAAAACTACTGCAAAATACCTGTATTTGAAAAAAACCTTTATTAAGTTGAAAGCACTTTGTCTAATTTACCTGTAGACCTAACTAATAGCTTTATTCCTCTCTCTTTTTGTCTCACTTGTGTTGCTCTCGGACGCCGACACTCGGATCCAAACCCGATGTTCTGATGTACGTTTTCTTAACACTTAAAAACCTCAGCGGAACGATAGGTTTCCGCAGGGAGGACAAATAGGGGGGCGACCAGAAGTTGAGTCCCCAAATCAGCAACAACAACAGCAGCAGCAGCAACAACAACAGCAGCAACAACAACAACAGCAGCAACAACAACAACAGCAGCAGCAACAACAACAACAGCAGCAGCAACAACAACAGCAGCAGCAGCCAGTGGGCCCTCAGGCTTTTGAAGGATCAAATAACAAACGACGCAGATACTAACTCTTCCCAAACATAGAGAGAATTTCCCTTTGTGACTGACATAAACCCAATCCTATTTTTCTGTTTCCACTCCACCCCCCGTGGGAAATGTTTCACCAACAAAATGGACATATTTCTCACTAAAAGGCATTTATTTTGTGGATGAAAAGACTATTTTTGGACAGCATATGTTTTCTGAATGAGACGGTTGGTGCTGTTTTGTCTGCTGAATCTTAAATGTATTTAAAAGTATTTTTCAAGAAGGTCCTTCGTGGGAACATGACTGCTATTAGGGATGTCCCGATCACCTTTTTTTGCTCCCGATCCGATTCCGATCATTTGATTTTGACAATTTGCCGATACCGATTTTTCCCGATCCGATCTTTATGAAATGCATTAAAAGAAAAAAAAGCATTCAAGTTGTCCCTTAAGGTAT